CATTCTAACTGCCGCACATATAGTTCCTACGGTGACTTTTCCGATCAAAATTCACTTATTAGATCCGTAAACTCTTTTCAAAAGTACTCCCTAGATTCTTATACATCTAGAGTCAAATAAAGTATATTATCTATTTTTCAAAAATAGAAAAAGGATATGATATTGTTCTTTAAAAATACTCTCTCTGTCCTCATGTATTCGTCCACATTTGACTTTTGGAACTGTTCATCTAAGCACTTTGACTTATCAAATTCTCTCAATGTGTAAGCCTAAATATAGTCATGTGTGATCTTATTTGATTTATCTTAACATATAGATTATTAATATATAATTTTTATAATTTTTTAATATACAAATTACAAGATAAAATGGATTAAAGAAGTGCATTGAATGGAGTGTAAAAAAAAAGTGGACAAATACAAGGGGACGGAGGGAGTATATGTTATGCCAAAGTTTTGGATAGAAAAACAGTGAGAATGACTACGTATGCACAAGTAAAAAAAATATAATAATCTAGGGACCATTTTTGAACAATAGAGATCTATTAAGTGAACTGCAAAAAGGAAATACAAATTTTTTAAAAGAAAAATAGACAGTACGTCGGAGTTTTGGTCGGAAAAGTCACAGGAGGGACTATCTGTGCACCAGTTGGAAAATATAGAGACCTGACAATCACTTAAATTAATTTAAGGCCTTGAGAAACACATTTGAAAAAAATATATAGACTTAGTAAGACTTTTTCACAATTTTTATGTATGTTAGATTTACAATGAGATTTAAAAATTCACATAAATACTACAAGAAATAAGCAGTTTACGTTAGCCCTGTTAAATTCAATCAAATCCCTTGCATGTTTTTCCCTTTTTTTTGAATATCTTTAACTCCAAATTTAAAATTAAAGAGACAAAACTATTTTTGTATTGTCTCTAAATTGATACTCCATAAAATTTATCTATATCAACTTTAGTTCATATGTTGAATTTATAAAGAGATTTAAAAATTTACATAAATACTTTAAGAAACATGCGATTTACGTTAATAGCGCAATAAAAGAGAGGAGGGGAGAAAAGTAAAAAAACATTCTCTCCTCTCTAGGTGAGAAAATGGAAGAGAAATACATGAAATTACAACTTTATCCTTTACTTCCTTCTCCTAGTCTAATACACAAGGGTAAAAATATTTTTTAAAAAATTTTCTTTTCACTTTTTACTTATCCAAAAAACAATGATATTTTTTTAAAATTTCTCTTATTTTTTCTTGTTTCTTTCCATTTTTTATCTTTTCATTTTCTCCTCTTACCCACATAAGTTCTTATTACTTCCTTCGTCCCAAAGTATTTGTCTAGTTTGACTTTTTCGAGTCAAACTGGACAAACTTTGAGCTTCAATTAAATAAAAACCGTAAAGTATTTTAATATAAAAATGATTTTATTAGATTTATCGCATTGAGAACTTTCAAAATTGTATTTCATTATGCTAATGCGTAATACAAATTGAGAGTAATTGAATTTTAAAATTTGTCCAGTTTGACTCGAAAAAATCAAACAGGATAAATACTCTAGAACGGAAGTAGTATTTGATTTGTCAAATAAGTGCATCGTTGAAGATTTGAGGCCTTGAAGGAATGAAGAAGGGACTTGAAATATTCATCCCGGTTACTTAATTTCCTACTTCTGAAACAGAATAGAAAATGAATTTGCACGACTCTTATAACACAAGTCAGGATGGCCGAGTGGTCTAAGGCGCCAGACTCAAGTTCTGGTTCTCGCGAGAGAGCGTGGGTTCAAATCCCACTTCTGACATTTTTACTCTTTTTTTTTTGCAAATTCAAGAACTTGATCTGCTATTTCTGCAAAACAGAAGAAGATCCATTTACATCAATGGAGGTCCCAAGAATTCGCGGGGAGCAACCCAGAGAGAAAGAAACACAATGAAAGCAATTCACCACTCTCATTTCTTCGAGACTTCTCAGTTGAACCACATCCTGAGACTGGTTTCTACCAGAGCAACCACGCTCGGCCAAGCTCAGCAATCCCATGCCTACATCGTCAAGACCGGGTTTTCCGGCGACACCCATCTCGCCAACAAGTTGCTCTCCCTCTACGCCCACCACCACAGCTTCGCTGACGCCGATCGCCTCCTTCGCTCTCTCCCTCAGCCCGACGTCTTCTCTTTTGCTCCCCTCATCTACGCTTCTTCTAAGATTTCTCTCTTCGATCAGACCCTCAGGTTTTTTTCGGGATTGTTAGCTCGGGGCCTGCTTCCCGACGCGTATGTTCTGCCCAGCGCGATTAGGGCGTGCGCCGGATTATCCGCCGTCGACATCGGCCGGCGGCTCCACGGCTATGTTTTGACGGCCGGGTTTGCTTTGGATTGTTTTGTCCAGTCGTCCCTAGTTCACATGTATGTGAAGTGCAGTAACTTGGGAGACGCACACAAGGTGTTTGATGAAATGCATGAGCCAGATGTTGTCAGCTGGAGCGCCTTGGCAGCTGGTTATGCAAAACAAGGGGACTCCGCCAATGCTATGGGAGTGTTCCGCAAGACAGAAAGCTTGGGGATTCAGCCTAATTTGGTCTCGTGGAACGGTATAATTGGTGGTTTTAACCAGAGCGGGTGTTTCTTGGAAGCAGTTTCACTGTTCCGGGAGATGCATCTGAGAGGTTGCACCCCTGATGGAACAAGCATTTCTAGTGTTCTTCCAGCTATAGGAGATTTGGGTAATTTAAATGTCGGCATTCAAGTTCATGGTTTTGTGATCAAGCTGGGATGTAAGCTTGATATATGTATAGTGAGTTCTCTCATAGACATGTATGGGAAGTGTGGCTGTACAACAGAGATGTCTTTGGTGTTTGATGACACGGATCAAAAGGACTTGGGTGCTTGCAATGCTATGATTTCTGGGCTTTCTAGGAACGGTCTTGTTGATGAAGCCGTTAAGGTTTTTAAACAGTGCAGGGATGAAGGGATGGATGCAAATGTGGTTACCTGGACTTCCATGATTGCTTCTTGCTCACAACATGGGAGAGACATAGAAGCACTGGAACTCTTCAGGGAGATGCAGACAGTTGGGGTCGAACCAAACTGCGTCACTATCCCTTGTGTGCTTCCTGCTTTTGGCAATATAGCAGCGTTGATGCACGGGAAAGCAGCACATTGCTTCTCCATTAGAAGGGGTTTTCTTGATAATGTCTTTGTTGCTAGTGCGTTAGTCGATATGTACGCTAATTGTGGGAGGGTAGATTTGTCCAAGCTCACTTTCGACAAGATGGCTACAAAGAATCTGGTTTCTTGGAATGCTTTGATTGGTGGGTACGCGATGCATGGGAAGGCCGCAGAAGCCATCAACACTCTTCATTTGATGATGCAGAGTGGGGGAGAGAAACCCGACGCGATCAGTTTCACCAGTGTTTTATCTGCGTGTAGCCAAACGGGCCTTCGCAAAGAAGGGGAACATTATTTTGAAATCATGGCTAAGGATCACGGGATCAAACCCAGACTAGAGCACTATGCTTGTATGGTGAGCCTCCTCGGTCGGGCGGGAAGGCTCAAAGAGGCCCACTCTCTCATTACCAAAATGCCCTTCGAACCCGACGCGTGTGTTTGGGGCTCGTTATTGAGTTCTTGCAAAACTCATCGTAATATGCATTTGGGCGAGGTGGCTGCAAATGAACTGTTCAAACTTGAACCAACAAATCCCGGAAACTACATTCTCTTATCCAATATCTACGCATCTAACAAAAAATGGAACGAAGTGGACAGAATCAGGAAAAAGATGGAAGATTTGGGGTTAAGGAAGAATCCGGGTTGCAGTTGGATTGAAGTGAAGAACAAAGTACACATGCTTTTAGCAGGAGATAAGTCACATCCACAGATGACACACATAATGGAGAAGTTAGCCGAGTTGGGCTTCGAAATGAAGAAATCTGGGTTTTTACCAGACACCGATTTCGTGCTGCAGGATGTGGAAGAGCAAGAGAAGGAGCAGATTCTTTGTGGGCACAGCGAGAAGCTGGCAGTGGTTCTTGGAATACTGAACACCGGCAAAGGGTACCCTCTAAGAGTTATAAAGAATCTCCGGATTTGCGGCGACTGCCATTCCTTCATGAAGTTTGCATCAAGGTTTGAAGGGAGAGAGATTTCCGTTAGGGACACGAACCGTTTCCATCACTTTAAGGATGGCGCGTGTTCTTGTATGGATTATTGGTGATTGGGTTCTTGAAGGTTCTTCTCTACTCTCACGTAGGTCTGTAGGGGTAAGGTCCTACGTACACATACCCTCCCTAGACCTTACTTTCGTGGGATTTTATTGCGCTTGTTGTAGGATTTGTTAATGTTCTTTCCCAAGAACTTCGAGGGAAGCTTGCAGCGTTCCTGGAAAGCTCCCATTTTGAGCTTTTGCATTGGCTATTGGGTTCTGTTTGGTGAGCCTGAAACGGTTGAATGTACTGAATAGAGGGAGTGTTTTTTTAGGCTTCTTCGAGTGGATCAAGAGGTGGGGATAGTTCATGATGATCAACGCCAGCCCAACATTCGCCGGTGAGTAATTGTCATAAATTCAGTTTTTTTGTTAGTTAGAGCTTGTACCTTTCAACTTATTCTTATTAGAATCATTTCATATCAGATCATAAGAGAACAAGCTCACACATTTGCCCATTATTTTTGTGTGGAAATTATTTTTAAGATAAAACCTAACCCAAGTTAACGAGTTTCCTCCATGGCAGAAAACTTGGTATCTGTCCGTAGTAGGAAGGTGTGTTCGTGTTGAATTGGTTATCGGTGCCATTCAAACTACCAAAGGAATTTGTGATGTATCGGAACAACTTATTCGACGAATCCTTTGGTATGGAATGGTGACAGACACAACATCCTCGTGAAACGGGGTCACGGGACACAATGCGTGTTGCACGCTCGTCTTATGGTAACAGATGCAATAATGTATCAAAAAATTGTAGCAAATGTGACATATTTTGGAGTTTATAATTGAGAAAGATAAAGCAAATATTTGGCATTGGAATGACAAAGCACAAATTTATGCCCTTAGATTAATGTCACAAGTTTGGAGAGTTTCATTTTCACTTTGTCATATTTTACTGGGTTTATTGTTGTTTTTTAACGAAAAAAACAACCCATTTCTGATTATGCGTATACAGTATGTAAGTAAACATAGGATTTCCAAATACAATTTCACTAAAATAAATGTTCTATTTAGACTTGGGACTAACAATATTGAAGAAAAAAAAGGAGAGCCTACACATAACTATGTACAAAGGATTATGTACAAGGGTTCTCAGCTCTGAGCTTGGGAATGTGCAGAGGGGCGTGATTGTCTGTTCTACCCTTTGGGGCGGAGCTTTGACGCGATGGCCCGCAATTGATCTGCAACCTGGGTGAAGCTCGGCCTCTCGGATGGTTCGGCTGACCAGCATCTTTCCATGAGCGCTCTCCATTCGGGCCCACATGATTCCGGCACGGGCGGCCGCAATGTGTTGCTTACGATACCGCCTGCCCACATGATTCCGTACGTTAGGCTTTGAGGATTTTAAAGTTAATATATACCATTAAAACATTCGAAACAATTCCAGAGCCACCTGCTCCCGGTTGACACTGCAATGTCACTGCCTTTTTGGAGAACTTATGGTGCTCTGTTTGTAAAATTGATAGTTCCTAGCCCCTAACCCTGGTAAACACCAGTTAAGTTTGTTGAATCCAAAGTCAACTAAAAATGGGGGACGAAATTGATGGGTTTGGACGAGGGAAGGGGTGGGTTGGGGTTAAGAAGGGTAGAAACTATCAATTTTGCGATTGGAGCACCGTAAGTATCCAATTGGAGAGCCATTCAAAGGGAGTGCTTTAGAAGCCCTCAGTACAATATTATCCAAAAAAGTTGTTCCCAAAGAAGGCATATATCAACATTACCGATTATGGCACCATAATGCAAGTCTGCATATGGCTCTTCTCCGGTTAAAAGTTCCCACATTACAATACCGAAGGAAAACACGTCAACCTGAGACCACATTGGATCAAACATAAAAAAGTCCGGCGATTTTGTCAAAAGAATTGAATGACTTAATAAATATGTTATAGTAGTATGGGATTTGAGAGGGATACCTTCTCGGAGACAAGATTACTACTGCCATTGAGAAGCTCTGGGGCCATCCACGGAAGGGTCCCACGCACCCCTCCGGAAATCAGTGTCTGGCATTTCACCTTAGAGAGTCCCAAATCACCAACCTTCACAGAATGACACATTTTATCGCCTAAGTCAATAGTAATTCATAATAAAATTTTGTGGGAAACCACCCTTTATGTTTCACATTTTTTAAGAAACCACCATTTATGTCAAGGTTTTTATTTTAGTGTTATTGACTCTATTACAATGTAATATCTGTCCTTACGTTTCTCAACTGAATGACGCACAAAGAGCCACTGCCGGGGCTCGAACATGCCATCAAAAAATGGTTTTAAAAGGTGGTTTCTTAAAAGAAAGACTTGAGTGGTAGGAAGCTCACACTCCAGGATGAAACATTTACTCTTACCCATAAAAAAAGGTGGAAACATTCATTCATTTGTTGCAGTGGTGACCTTTATGGGTAAGAGTGAATGTTTCATTCTGGAGAATGGGCTTCCTAGCACTCAAGCCTTTCTTATAAGAAACCGCCTTTTAAAAATGTTCTAACTAATTATTTTATAAGAAACCACCTTTTATGGTAGATACTTTGTAATATTATTTGAAAAGGTGTTTTTTTAAGATGGAAGATAATTTTTTTTAAATATTTTTTTTCTTAAAGAGATATACTCAATACTGACCTTGCAAATAGGACGGTGCGGATCGCGGAGATTAACCAATAGATTATCACTTTTCAAGTCAAAATGTACAATATTCTTCCTGTGCAAGTACTCCATTCCAAATGCCACATCCATTGCAATCAAAACGCGCTTCCACTTATCAAGACTCCTGTATGTCCATCTTTTATAAGTAGTGATAAAGTTTGTGTACCCTTGTTGTTAGATTGGCCTAATGCCCAAAAATGCCCTTGAACTATCGAACACGAAAAAAATAGAAAACCGTTTGACCGCCTAAAATAATTGTTACCTTCCATTTTTCTGAAGAGCATTCCTCAGAGACCCATTGACCATATACTCGGTGACAGTGGCTACGGAACCACCAGGCCCATCAAGCACAACACCATAGAAGGCAACAACATTTGGATGGTGCAAGTCTGCAAGTTTAATTGCCTCATTCCAGAAATCGTCCCTCTAATGTTAAAAGGGTCATTATTAGCACAAACAAAAGGAAAGATAGGAAAATCATATAAATTGTGTGTGTGTGTGTGTACATTGGAAGATGACACCAACCATGCGCTTTTCTTCTGATGGTTTTCCAGCAAAACATCTGTCATTGATCCGTTTGATTGCGACGTCCGTTCCTCTCCACTTTCCGTGATAAACAGTGCCAAACGTTCCGGAACCCAACTCTCTGAATTCTTCAAGATCACAGTCTTTTATAATCTACCCACAAAGAGTTCTAGTTCAGTTGCATGACATACAAGTGAAAATCACTTTTAGTACGTCACATGTTTAACATATATAAGTTGTACTCAACTTGGAAAAACAAGACTCCTATTTTTAGAGGACTAAAAGTACGATTTCTCCTAAGTTTAATATGTGGGCACACATATCATGCAAAATGAAATAACTCAAACCTGTAAGTGACCAATGTCACCTGACACAGGAAAGCCGAAATCTCTCCTCTCTGGCAATTTAGGTTTCTCTTTCTGAGCAAGAAAACGTGTAAACCATCCAAAGTTAATATGATGTTAAAAATATACTCCATCCGTCCTATAAAACTTTTCAAGTTTGGAAAAAGGTGGCATTTAAGGAATGTGTAATTTTTAGTGTTATTTTCCCATTTCGCCTTTACTTTTTTATAGGGTAGGATAGAATGTGATTAGGTATATTAATAGAGAATATATTTGATGTCATAGGTAAGATAATAATTGGTAGGGGTAAAAAGGAGATTTTAATTAGAAGTGGAATTGTTTTTGGGGCAAATGAAAAGTCAAAGTGGAGAGGCTTTTTTGGACGAGGGAGTATATTACAAACTTTACAAAGAGGTTTATAGGGACAGAGTGAGACCTCAAGTTTATTTCTGTCAGATCTCTTTACTCCATCTGCACTTTGCAATTCGCTGTACAACTCGCTGTAAGAATTTATAGATGATTGGATAACAGAAGCCGCCACGTCCTCAGCAACAGCCTGAAGTTCTTGTTTGATTACTTCACCAGCTGAGCCTTCTAAAAAACAAACCAAATCAAATCCCAGTAAAAAAAGTAGGATCTAGGGAGGGTGTGTGTAAGCAGACTTTATCCCTACTAAAAAATAGAGAGACGGTTTCCAAAAGACTCCCAGCTCACAGAAGCACAAAAATGAAAACAAAAATTCAGTAAAAAGCACACATACGAGCACTGGCAATTCAACCAATATGTGAAGAACTGAGCCTTCTAATATTTTGGATAATATTTTATTGAGGGGTTTTAGAGCCACTCCTTTCGAGTGGCTCCGGGTAACACCGGCTTCAATTGGGGTACTTGCGGCGCTCCATTTGCAAAATTGAGAGATTCTACCCCTCTTAACCCCCCACCCCCCACCCCCCCACAGACACATCAATTTCGTCCCCCAAATTTAGTTGACTTTGGGTCAACAAATTTGACCCCAATGTCATCTAAATTTATGGGATGAAATTAATGGGGCTGGGTCCCCGGGTGTGGTGATTACCAGGAGGCTAGGGGGTAAGAACTATCAATTTTACGAACAGAGCAACATTAGTTCTCCAAAAAGGCAGTGTCATTGCATTGTCAACCAGAGCGTGAGACTGTTTCCAAAAGACTCCCAGCTTAAACACAAAAGCACACAAGATTAAAAAAAACACACATATGGAGACTAGCAATTCGACCCATATGTGAAGAACTGAGCCTTCTAAAAGAAGGTAAAGAAAACACCAAAACAAGAAAGCACCAAACTACTATAAGAAAATCAGACATGCAATAAACAGTTAACCTGATGAGTCCATGTTTGACTGATGATCCTTGACACCCACAGTTTCCTTTTTCAGCCGAATCTTGCTAGGTATAGGGGGAGGGAAATGAGTATCACACCGCATCATATCCCAAGGATCTTGGTTGCTGAACAAAGATGTCGAGCTTTCCTGTGCTTCTTGAAGTTTCAAACGTGGTGATATTATGGAAGCTGGATTTCCATCTGAAGAGGGTTTTGATACGATGCCCTCCTCCGGGCCCCACAAAGACTGCAAAAATGCAGTTTCGGTCTTTGTTATGTGGTTTGAATCTGTAAATGCCTGCTCCCAACCAACTTGTTGAGCTGTGTTTTCCAATATGTTATCCACGGTAAGAATATCATTGGCATGCTTCCCCAATGTGTGTAGATTAAGATTTCCCATTCTGTCCTCAACTTGATTCAGATGGTCATTTGAATTGTTAGGTTCTATAAATGCTAGGTTAGAACCAACATCCACTTTGACATGGCGCTGCAACGGGACAAAGATGTTTTTTGGAGGGTCGACTTGACATGAAATAGGAACCATAGGTAAAATTTGAGAAAAATGAGATTCCACGCCACCACTAGGGAGTGATACATTTGAATGTTGTGGATTGGGAACATTGAGATAGACACCGGCTCTCCCTCCTCCATTGGCTTGGACCTTTCCAACTTCATGATCCACATGGGCCATGGCATGTTCAGAGGCACCCTCTCCCGGCGTGACACCCCTGCAGATATGCCTACTCTTATCTTCCAGCCAAAGGAGACTGTCATAAGTAGGGGTATGGTCAACAGTAGTAGAGCCCTCAAAAAATGAATTTGTCTCCTGTCCGCCAATTGCTGTGGGACGAGCCACGTGTCCTTCAGAAATTGCTGCCTGCTGGGGGTTTGGGACCTGATTCCAGCTGTACATTCCAGCAGGGACCTGACGGTGATACCCCTGGCTGCTCGGTGTGTTTCCTGAAGCATACGGTTCAAAACTAAGTTGCTGAGAGTGGGCAAGATGAGTTCCAAGATTAGAGCTGTTGTGGTGGGGGTTCACAGGCATTGCCATAGGAACGCAAGAAACAAACTGCTGAACCGGAGGGCATGTAGTTAAGGGCTGTTGGGCAAACACTGTACCGCTGTCCCCCAAGAACTGTGGAGGGAACTGTTGCGCGTAATAGTCTGTGTGGGGCATATCAGATGGTGCATATGATGAATGCTGCAATGGGAGTGTCACTCCCGGTTGCGCCAAACCAAAACCGGTTTGCTCCGGTTTGAGCAGTACAGCAGTAACTGGGACATGTTTTTCAATGGGGTTTGGCAGTGGAGCTGTAGAAGCATAAACCATGGAATTTGGTTCAGCTACAGTTATAGCCGAGTTTGGGGTAGTCCCAGATCTTGTGACGCCGCCCCTAACTTTGTCTGTCATCCCACACTGCAAAACACTGGCAATGCCATCGGCCTCTGATGGTGGAAACAAGAACACCCGCAACTTTGCTGAGGTGTCGGCGAATTTCTCGTACTCGTCCATCATGTTCTCGAGATCGTCAGGGCAAGAAACCGACACGAGTGCGTCGAGCCCCTCGTCAGGCAGCTGGTACTTGATCGTCATGGCATCCTGCCCGCACGCGTGGGCCATCTTCCTGACGAATTCAAGAAACGTCGTGTCCCGCCTCAGGGCTATGATCCTGGTCTGCCCCCCGACGTACCTCAACGCCCCGTCGCTCGGCCTGGGCAGTATTTTCCCGCCAAAACTGCACATGAGCTTCACTTTCCTGGTGCCCCGGGCAGACGGATCGTCCCCTCCGCCTTCATCCGGGGCGACCCGTGGCAGCGGGAGGGCATTGGTGAAAGCTGGGCCCACGAACCCGGCTTCAGGGGTAAACCCGGTGTTGGCAATTCCAAGAATTCCCACTGGAACAGAGAGCGAGTCTTCCAGCTGGGCTGTTCTGATCATACTCGCAGGTCCCAGATTAATAGGTTTAGTGTTCTTCTGATAAGCCATACAAATGTGAAAATTTTTCCCCTCGGGCAACCAGATAAAGATTCTATAATAAAAACTGAAGTTTTTCCTTCAATTTCTAAATTTCTTCCAGCATTGAGTAAAAAGAAACAAAGCAGCAAAAAACCCAAATTTCCAGCTATAAACCCTAGCTGCTGCTGCTACATCAACCCCAAGAAAAGGATAAATCGAAGGTCATCGTGTACCTGCAAACCCGATCCGACCCGGTTCGGGGAAGCCTCCAGATAGTTGGGGAAGAAGCGGAGACCAATAAAGCTCCAATCTTTGGCGGCGGTTCTTCAATCTTCCCTTCAATATGAGTTCTGGGTATCCACGATACTCAACGGAATTGCAAGTTTGGCAGGCGAGATTAGGGCGGGGGTGATGGTGACTAAGATTGCTGAGTGGAATGAGTCATGGGTATTCCGTACAGGGAGAGAGATAGGAAGATGGTGGTGGAATGGGGGAGAGAGGGCACGTGGAAGTGGTGTGGGAGGGATGGACTATGGCAAGTCAATTGGGGGGGGTTGAGTTTCTACTTTCTTGATGATACCAATGAGTGAATGAGACAATAAGATATGGAAGGAGTATTTGATGTGGGTCCCATTTATTATAAATCCGAGGCATGGGTAGCTCAACTGGTATGACGTGAGGAGGTTAAATCCGTTGATATTAGGATCGAATTCCAGCAGCGGCAATGTAGAGTTCTATTATTTGTAATAGTTCTTATGTGCATCGGGCACAAGGCGACCTCTCTAATGACAAAGTCGAAATCATACCAAGATTTACCCCCTTACAACCCTGTCGAGTCGGGGTGTGGAGCGTCTGGGGTGGGTGTTCCACCTTTTTTAATAAACCCCAGGATAGATCGAGTCATTTCTTTGAAGGGGTCACCCGGGCTAATGACACGCACACACAAATTAAACGGTGTTTGGCAACATGATCATCCACGTATTAACACAACCCATGATGGGTTGTCTAGTCTACATCTTCTTTTACAGTTGAGCTAAGAGCATGGTGGACAACACGCCACAGAGCAATCTAACATGTGAGCATGGCCTAGGCTATGACACATAGCCTGAGTGACGGGCCATTCCAGCTAAGAGCCAAGGCACCACGGTCTAGGGATTGGCATGAAAGATTCTCCACACACAAAGGGGCAAAGTGCGACATATAGTCCATGATAGCTCGGGTGATGAGCCATTATAAGAAAGGTTGGAAAAATGCATGGGTGACACACATCAAGCTATCCAACATATGGATATTCATAACTTATAGGATGTGATGACACAATATCGAAATTATGCGTGCAATGCGCAACAAGCTAGCTATCTAACGTATCGATATAGTCTAGGACATATCGTATAACCAAGGTGATGGTCATCATTATCCAGAGTCAAATGAGAGAAAACTTCAAAGACAACAGGTGATGAGACTCGGGTAGATCGCCACGAGTCCACCAGATTGATGATGATTGAAGTTAGGACGTTGGGACCCAAGAATCGTGACCTGGAAGAAATTTAGGGGAGTTGCTTAGGAACAACTCCTTTAATAAATTAAGCAACTCATATTCCACTTAGACTCTACGACTTTGTTTGGATGAGGAGAGAAAATGAGACGAAAGAAAATGAAATAAAAGAAAATGGTGAGAAAATGACGTGAAAAAAGTTAATATTTGGATTGATAAAAATAACAAGAAAATAGTAACAAAAGAGAAAAAGTGAAAGAAAAAGAAATTAATGAGAGAAGAAAGCTTTGTACCTATTATCTCACCAAGGTGGGTGAGAAAACTTCGTAAGCGGAAGCCATTATTTTTTTCTCTTCTTAGAGCATCTCCAGCCCATAGTGTATATAGTATAATTTACACAATATGCAATATACTCTTCATTTTTAAGACTACAATGGATAGTGTAAATTGTGTAAATCAAAGGTTAAAAAACATTATAGTGGAAAAAACAATTCCTAACTTGTATATATACAAGATGGTGCAAATCAAATGCTAAAATAATTATTTCAATATTTAGTTTTAAATAATACTAAAAATATTATTAATAGATTGGTTACATTATGCACATCATAAATGTGATTATAATTAAACCAAAAATTAAATATATAAATAATTTAAAATAATAAAATATTTTAAAATTGTATTATATATTCTGTAAAAGATATGATTGAAGTGTGTATAAAAAGGTAAATGTATAAAACACTAATGTAAAATAAATTTTACACTATACGTTGGAGTCTTGGAGATGTTCTTACTCATTTTCTCATCCAACAAATTGAGTGAAAATACTTTTTTTTCCTCAACCTGTTTTTCATCATCCAAGCGGTAGGGTGCGCGTGAAGCGAGGCTGGGGAGCAAACATCGCCTAGCATAGCCATGGCGATACTCTCCCAAAACCCAGCAACCTTTTATCTGAAACTCAATACAAAATCACCAAAGAAATCACTCCCAGGCACATCTTCTAAGATCAAGAATTCAATTTCACCAAAAATTTCGCCTTTTTCTTCTTTTCTGCTCTCTACCCGTTGTTACTCTGCTCTATCCCAGCGCCCCCTCAGGTTCAATTTCACCTCTTTAGTCGTTTAACAGAAAAATTTGAATCAGTGCAATTGTCAGCATACCCATATTGAATTCATGATTTTGTTTTTTTCTTTGGTTTGGATTTTTCTGTCCAGATATGCAGTTCTTGGTGCTGGCTATGCTGGGTTATCTGTGGTTTGGCATTTGTTGCAGGTATTTAATTTATCCTTCATTATTTGTCAAGACCTGCTAAGTTCACCTTTATTCCACATTTCTATCATATTGTTTGATAAATGTGCAGATAATCTGTATGTTGCTTTAGTAATGATTGAGAGGAGAGTTGCCTTTTCTTCTTCTTCTTCTGAGAATCGAATGGAGGACTAGGGTGGGGGGAGTGTGGAAAATACTCAAAATTTAGGGGCCATTTGGAACTAGTAAAATGCCACAATAGAAAATAGGGAGGAATATATACAGGGGGGGGGGGATTTAGGAATGCAGGAAATTTGAAGGAAGATATGGAGTAATAGATTGTATACCATATAATCCTATGTAAAAGAAAACATTAGAAAAACATACTCCATATTCCCTAACAATTTATTTTCTATTTCATAGTACAATTTTCTAGGCTCCAAACATGACCTCAAGCATTGGCTGGTTCAATTGTTATTTTATGATATAGTTTTCTTGCTCTTTTTCATTTTACAGTTTAATGTAGTTCTTGAGCACTTTTTTCTCCAACTTAGCTGCTTTTGATTGCTCCACAATTTCATCTTTGCAGAACAGTCCCAAGGAGGCACGTCTTTTCATTGATATATATGATGAAATCGGCATTGGTGGAGGTGCGTCCGGAGTTTCTGGTGGACTCCTTCATCCATATTCTCCCAAAGGTGCAAACTTTACAGTTTAACACTTTCTATGTTAACCACACAGTTAAATTTCTGGTACAGTTTTATATTGATTCTCTTCTCTAAGTAAAAAATGGTTTGCAGTTAAATTACTGTGGAAAGGAGAAGAGTGTTGGAAGGAGAGTTTAAACCTTTTAAGGGTAGCTGAAGACGCAAAGGTGTCCAAATCATTATGCGTAGAAGAACAAGATAAAGGTCAAAGTGGAAGGGACTTCATGGTTAGAAGAAGGTTAGGGCAATATTTTTTTTCCCGCGTCCGCTCTTTCATCATTATAGAGTAGCATTTAGCTTGAATCTTTAACTATTTCCACAAGTTTGTCTTGCTTCATAGTGTTCGAGTGACTGATTCCCTGCGGTGGCCCTAAGAGCGTTGGTAATAATTTCTTGCATACCACATTTTTTTCTACTCTTTCTTTTTACTCAACTTCTCCCACAAACCATTAAGAGAATGAATGGAAATTTGTTTTCCCATTAAAGAATTCAATGATTTTAGATTTTAACTTAAACTTAAAAAATAAAATGAAAACTCAAGCAGATCATTTAGGAGAAAATATTCATTCATCATGTTTGCATGCAAATAGCTCTTCATGTTACATAGTGAATGATACTGAGCTGTAACCTCAAAGTATGGAACATGTTTGCTGCAGCGGAATTCTGAGGCCCGCACTTAGTTCGAAGAATATGGACATTATGATTGATGTGAGCTCTCAAAACTTACTAACGCAACAACATTATGTACTCCGTATTTATTTATTTATTTATTTATTTATTTTATTTATTTATGATTGTTTAGTAGAATGCAGAACACTGTCTTCACAGCTGTAGAATAGAGGCCATTAATAAAGAAAGTGCGCATAAGATTGTTCCGGATTTATTTGTGCCTCTAGACTTGGCCTTTCACATGCCCGAAGCTCTCACTGTAAATTCCAAATATTATCTTGAGGTATGGGAATGACAAAGCTTTGTTATTCTAACATCGCATGCTATGTTTGTGAGTTTTCCACATGACACGATAGGAAGATAAGAAGGGAACGTAAAATTTATTTCCCTCTTATTATCACCCCATGTGTCTTTGTTTGAGGTAAAAATAATAGAGTGAAAACAACAAAAAATTGCTGCCAGGTACCCCCTGTTTTGTGGTAAGAACTACGGGGTACCCCTAATTTTGAAAATATACTCCCAGGTACCCTGAATTATAAAAAAACATACTAAGAGGAGATTTTCCATCCATCCTCCATCCATTTGGGTTTTTCCGTTAACTTCTTGATCAGCATCATCATCATCATCCACCATCTCCATCTTTAATTCTTCGGTCTTCCTCCTCCTCCTCTTCTTTTTCTTTTTCTTTTTCTTCTTCTTTCTTCTTTCTTCTTCTTCTCCTCCTCCTCCTCCTTCCACTCTTGATCTTCCAAACCCCCAACCCTTCACCCTTATTTCTTCTTCTTCTCTTTCTATTATTATTATTATTATTATTATCTTATTATTATTAGTATTACTATTACTATTATTATTAAAAATAATAGTGAAACTAATATTTAGTTTTTATATTAATAAAAGAAGAATAAGAAAATATTACTTCATAATAATAATAATAAATAATAGAGGTAAAAGAAAATTATACTTTGTAATAAATAAATAATACACCATCCATTCCATAAATTTCTTCCCCTTTCGTTTTTTTAATTCCCTAAAACACTTTCACTTTCTATTAAAAACCACTTTTACCCTACTTTTTCATACCCTAGCTATCACATCATCCTTTTTTACTAATAACCAAATTATCACATCTTACTTTACTCATCACATCAGGGGCAAAATTGGAAAGTCAATCAAACTTACACTCTCCTTATAATAATAATAATAATAATAATAATAATAATAATAATAATAATAATACTCTCTTCGTCCCAAATTATAATACATGTTCACTATTCACAGGGTCAAACTTTCTTCACTTTCTTTCTCTTTTTTCGTTAGCAATTTGATAAAATAAAATACTATTGTCACTACTAGTTTTGTAGATCTTTTAATGTAGTATTTTAATATGTAATTTTTATTTTTTAACTATATACCATTTGTCATATAAAATGATTTGAAAAAAAAAAAATAATAATAATAATAATAATAATAATAATAGAAAGAGAAGAAGAAGAAATAAGGGTGAGGGGTTGGGGGTTTGGAAGATCAAGAGTGGAAGGAGGAGGAGGAGGAGGAGGAGGAGAAGAAGAAGAAGAAAGAAGAAAGAAGAAGAAAAAGAAAAAGAAGTAGAGGAGGAGGAAGCACCGAAGAAGATGGAGATGGGTGATGATGATGATGATGATGATGTTGATGATGATGAAGTTAACGGAAAAACCCAAATGGATGGAGGATGGATGGAAAATCCCCTCCTGGTATGTTTTTTTATAATTCGGGGTACCTGGGAGTATATTTTCAAAATTGGGGGTACCTGGTAGTTCTTACTACAAAACTGGAGGTACCTGTCAGCAGTTTTTTGTGAAAACAATCTTTACCATGTTGTGATGAATTTGTACTATTAACTTTTATTAGGCTCTCTACTTGGCATGCCATAATGCTGCAAAAGACGCTTCGGATTTGAGTGCTGCCCCGAAAGAGTTGCATTTGCACAAAAAATCTATTGATTGTCTCTCTGAACTAGCAGGCAAGTTCTGACCAGTATAGAAAGTCAAATGAAAATTTAGGAGGAGAAACAGAAAAGAAACATATGCAACATATTTCTTTCAGGGGAGTATGATGCTGTGATCATATGTCTCGGTGCCAGAGCAGCTTTTCTCCCGGAGCTCTCTGGAAGGATCCCATTGCGGACATGCAGGGGCGTTGTCGTCCACCTGAAGGTTGACGACGATGCAAGGTAGTTATTATACATAATATATATAGTCCTTCCATTCACGTTTAACTGATCATTATGACTTTTAGGATTCATCAAAATTTGAATGAATATGGACATACATCATGTCCACATTCATTGATTTTTAATGTGTCATGGAAGTCATAAAATGATGATCACTTATAAGTGAAGGAAGTACTAGTAGTTTGTAAAGTCATTTCAATTAGTCGGTTCTAGACGCTTGCGTGCGTGATAATTGGCATACAAATGCTTTGATTTCAGAGAGGTTTATCCGGAGGACTTCCCTTCCGTACTAGGAGATGCATGGCTCGCCATTCATGGCCCACGAGATCTCCGAGTAGGTGCCACGTGGGATTGGAACTCGAGGAACTATTCGAGTAAGGTTTCACAAGAGGAAGCTAGTAAAGCCGCAGAAGAGCTTCTGCATGAAAAGGCATCCACGTTGCATCCCGCCATAAAGAACGACCGGACTACCATAGCCGGTGCGAGCGGAGGCTTAAGGGCGATGCCACCACTCACGCCTCAAGGGTCGCTTCCGCTCTTGGGTTGTGTTGACGAGTTTGTGGTCGGGAACCAAAAGAGCAAGAAGTTTTGGTTGCTTACCGGGCTCGGATCAAGGGGTTTGTTGTACCATGGTTGGGTAGGCAAGTTGACGGCGCAAGCTGTTGTTTCTTGTGATGAAGACTTGATCCCTCCTGAACTGATTTCTTGGAAGAGCATAGTGTCTCACAGAGACAGACAGTGACACTTATAGTTATCTTGTGTGTGTTTGTGAGACACGACGGTGTCAAATATGGGGTTTTACTGTTTTAGTATAAAACATCAGTGGCATTCTTTTTGACACGGGTCCTGGAGGTGTCATAGTATGACACCAAGGCCATTTATGAGACTTCCCGTGCTCTGGTGCTATCAAACCGAGTCCTATGCCCTTACCCCTCGGCTCCCCCCCCCCCTCCAAATAGCAGAACGACGTCTACATCCCCCCTACCATGCATCCCTCGACCACGAGCTTCTAAATGGCGCAATGTCCTATTATGACACTGAAGACCGGTGTCAAACGAACGTGGAGTATTTGGAATCAATCTTTTAAAGAAAAACAGAAAAATTGTTTTCTTGCAAGAGTTTTGGATGTCCATGTGTTTGTTATTAGTCTAACGTAAAAATCTCAGCCTTAAAAAACTCAAAAGCAAATGTTAATCCTCAAACATCGGATTACCTTGAAACAAAATCAAATAAATCAAAGGGTACATTAATAATCCATTAGCCGGCCATCAAAAACACTACAAACGAAAAAAAAATAAAAACTGAATAAATAAAAAAGATATACATAAAAAAAAAAGACCAGAAAGAAAAAGAAAAAAACACCATAACAATGGCTGGCAACCAAAAGCTGGTTGTGGTGTTTTTGATGATGCTCGTGGTTGCCCTCTCTCCTTGTAATCATATTGTCGGCGTGAGCGCCGATCCCGACGTGTTTGGTGGGCCCGCCCGCATACCCGGCATTCATGCAGTTCAAAAGGATTCTGATGTCTTTGGCGGTGATGGCGCGAAGCGGGTTAAAGCACACATTCAAACATCCTTAGTAGCAAAGGTATTTTCACTTGTAATCTTTTACTGTAATTCACTCAATCACGATCGGTGATCTGTAAATATACGATAATTATAGGTAAGATACACTGCAAAATGTCGGAGAGATATAATTAAATCTACACAATCTTTTTTAGTTAAACGAATGCCCGGTAATTACTCTCTCTGTCCCATTTTAAATTGCATGTTTGCCTTTTTCTCCGTCTCAAAATAAGTTGCATGTTACTTGTTATCGTAAACTTTTAAGAGTAAAATACCTAAACTATCTCTAAAATAAGTCACTCTTCTCCACTTTATCTTCTCATTCATCGTCACCCCTCCTAAAAAGTAATGGCAATTTCAAAAAATCAACTCTATGTTTTCTCTTCCTTAAATATGTCCAAAAGTCAAAACGGACGATTTAAAATGAGACGGAGGGAGTAATAAATTTAGAAAAAATAAATGGTTTAAGATAGACAAATATAGTTGTAAATTTCTAAAATTTGAAAATTAAAACTCAATGAAACATATATTCTTTTAATTCCACCATTTGATCATAAATATCTATAATTAAATATAAATAGAATATATGAAAATTATATACTCAAAAAAGAACATACCTAAATACTTTTTTGGTCAAAATTCATACGGTTTGACTAGAAAATTCAAATTATGCAAACCATTGTCCTAACTTTGCATGTTTTGAATTCAATTGTTGCAGCCGAACAAGGACGAAGGCAACCTGCTGGCACCCGCACCGGCTCCTAAGCTCCCAAGATCATTGGGTGCACTCGGGAATAATTAATTAATTAATTAATTACATTGTAATCAATTTGGGATTATATTTTATGGCATAATGACGATCTATTAATTGATGTTTGCAGTTTTGTCGATATTTTAAACTATTTATAAATCAAATGGGTGTGCAAAGATGTTGAGTCACTATCGTTTTAATTAGTACAGTCTTTTTAAAGGATTGATAATCGTCAGAAATATAATTTTTTCAAACTTGCAAATACAATTAAAGAATGCTCAATTCATACTAAATTAATTTTCTCACTTTGACTTCACGAGACTAAAAACAACGCGGTTGAATGATGAAAAATGAGGGATTAAAACTTGTTTAGAAGAGAAAAAAAGTATATTGGATCACGATTAAAAAAAAACAAACAAAAATGATAAATTTTACAGCCAAAATTTATAAACTTTGGCCCATGATTAAACAAAATTTATATTAAATATTGATACAAGAATAAATTTATAAGATTTATCATGGGATGACCCGAGTATGCTCCGGTGGCCCGTTCGTAAAATTGACAATTCCTACCCTCCTAACCCCCCTCCACACCGCCCCGATCTGAACACACCCACACCCCCTTCAATTACATGCTCTAAGTTAATTTGGACTTTGAAGTCAAATTTTGACTCCAAAGTCAAAATTAACTTGTGGGGTGCAATTGAAGGAGATGAGGAGTTAGAGGGTAGGAACCGTAAATTTTACGAGCGGGACACCGGAGCATCCCGGGTCATCCAATGATATTGATTCTCAATGTCATGTGAATGGATCTCCTAATTACGAAGTAATATATTCTGTAATTTTCATTTAATCAGATGTCAAAACTCGATATTGATTAACGGCAAAAAAATCAGAACCAGATAAATATTTCTAAACCAAGAAAGTGCAACTTTAAATTTGTCCGTGTCCACAGTGTGAACAGATGAGTGGGGCTAGGTGGATGCAAAAACAAAACAAAAAAAAAAACCAAACAAGAAATATGCCAAACAACACACACTCCGGGCCAACCTTCTTGGAACCTTCCTTCCTTCCAACCAACCAAACACACACCTCTCCATCTTCTCAAATATAAATAAAATTGTTCTTTTAGAATCTTTATGTATATCACAAATACCCAATTAATTAGCCTTACCTCAATCTCCACAAAGCATCATTTCTCCAGCTCTCTGCAGATTTTGTTAAAGAGATCAGAGAAGAAGAAGAAGAAGAAGAAGAAGAAGAAGAAAGATGTCTGGAATGCTTCCTGGGGTTGAGTGTGCAAGAAGGAGAAGGTTTCATCATCATAGCAATAACAACAACAACAAAAGGGTGTTGGAATCATCTTTCCCAATTGCAGCAACAAGAAAATCTTTCTGCTGTCTGTACACCACCAACAGCTCATCATCATCATCAAACCCACTCATGGTACAAATCCAAACACACCTCATATTTTAAACACATACTCCCTCCGTTTGGAAAAAGTCTTCCCACTTTGATTACAAGGCAAAATAAGAAAGTGTAAAATTATAGTTGACTTCCAATTTTACCCCTGATGTGATGAGTAAAAGTAAGATGTGATGGATTTATTATTAGAGACTAAGTATGATGTGATAGGTAGGGTATGAAAAAGTAAGGATAAAAGTGGGTTTTTAATAGAAATGGGAAGTGTTTTGTTGAAAGTGAAAAAATGAAAGAAGAAGTGTTTTTGAGAACGGAGGGTGTATGTTTTAACCTTAATCATGTATGTATGTATTTCAAGATCATTTTTTCTACTCCGATCCCTCCGTCGTCCTAGGAAAAACTTTCGTGTTTTGATTTTCTTTTGACATTCTTTGATTTTTTTTGTCAAACTTTGACATTCTTTGATTATAAACTAAACATAATTTAAGTACACAAATGTTATAAAAATTTCATATATCAAAACTATATCTATCTAAATATATTAAATTCATATTATAATTATATATACTCTTTTTCATTATTTATAGCCAAGTAGTGTTATATATTTTAGTGTAATTGAAAAAACTATTTGACCAATGGTATCATAATAATCATCAAAAAAATTTCAAAAAAGGATAAGCACCGTTTTCTCAAGACCGCGCAAAGTGACGCGCGTTTTGGACGAGAGACACGACCCTAGCCTTCTTCCCTTCCGCGGCTATAAATTACGCTGATCTTTGGTCGCCAAAGCACAATTCGAAAATCCACACAAGTGTCTGAAACGCTCTTGCCTATTGATGGGTAAGGGGGGGTCGGATACATGTTTAGACAATATATATAAAAAAAATGTTTCAAATGTTTCTAAAAGGCTTATGATGAGTGTGAAAAGTTGTACAAAAAATATGGATTATTAACTTGTGATATTTTTGTGATGAATGATTTGATTAGGAGGGAAGGGGCTTAAGAGAAGGACATGATGAGGATGATAAGAGGTTGGGTGAGGTTGCCAGAGGAGCCAAACAAAGATTGGATGAAAAGCTAATGAGAGTTAAATGGAAACCACACCATAACTGGTAAACATATATATATCCATTCACTTTCTATCTTTATCACTTCCTCTTTTTTTTTGAATTTGCTAGTTATTCATTCAAATTAATGAAATGAAAATGACACTCCTGTCTTTTTTTGAGGTTTTATTTTTTTAAATATCAGTAAATAAAATTAAAATATATATTCCCATGATTCAACAAGTGCATCAATTTCAAACCGAGTCCAGTCCTATCGAACGAGCCCTTAATCTTTCAGAATTTGGGATTCGGAAAAAACTGAACCGATATTCTCACGTCTAAAATTGATACTCTCTATTACTCCCAGCCCGAGTCTTTTCAGTTGTTTTTTCATGGTCTTCAACGTAATGTTTTGGATATCAATCCAATACTGTCATTTATAAATAGATATATTATAAAAATGTAATATATTTCAAAATTGTGTTTCAAAATGAACTTATTATTATTATTATTAAATTGATATCAAATTTGTATATATTTTTTTCTATAATTTGCGATAAAAATTTTAAAAAATTGACATTAAAAATTAAACGGAAAAGATTCATAATAGATGGAGAGAGTATCAATATATTTGGGGATGAGTGAAATGTCCATTTTGCAGTCTCTTGACATTTGACAAATTTGGGATATGATTTTGCAGGAATAGTGTCCAGAAGGTGGAGTTCGGGTTAAAAAGTACTGGCCGAACGAAATGTAATTGGGCCAGAAAGCTGGGCTTTTAGGCCTGCTTATTTGATGATACTCAAAGCTTGAAAATTTTAGTTTGAAGATTTTGAATGTATGAATTTTAATTTGGATTTTTAATGCCATAGTGATTACACTGTCACTCTCCATACTTCATTTTTATTGGTTTCTTTGGGAAATTATTTTTAATTAATCTTAGTGCTTAAGATAATTTTTTACTGATTTAATTTTTTATTGGAAATTTTTTTTACTCCATTAAAAAAAGGAGGAAATACAAGTAAAAAATAATATTTCATTAAATAAAAAATTTACATGCAATAAAAAAAGAACATAAATTTTATACTCTGTAAAAGATTACATTAATAAAAAAACTGAAAAAATACGTTAAAAGTGAGGTCAAGAATTGAATTTTTAATTATTTTATTTTTTCTACACTATTAGCTTTCCTTGATCATCTGTTGTGATCCACGCGACCACGTGTTTCTAAAAGATTGTCACAGTTTAATTTTTTTGATCAAATTGTGACAATCTTTGACTACGAATTAAATATAGTTTAAAATTATTAAATATTATAAAAATTTGATATTTCAAAGCTATATTTTAGGATAAACACAACTTTACTAAATTTTTATTATAACTAAATATACTTTTTCATAAAAAGTTACTTTAACCCCTATTAGTTCTTAACCTACCTATCACATCACATCTATTCACTATTAAAAATTCGATACCAAAATACATTCTACTTAAATCTCTTAAAAATCAAAACCTCTCATATTTTTAGGGACGGAGGGAGTAAGAAAATGTTGTTCTTTTGTGTTACCATGATTCATTTTTATGTGCATGATTGGTACTCCCTCCGTTCAAAAATTATCTTCCTGTTACACGTTAGAATGCTTGACTGAAATTATTTTTCTACCACTTTATATGAAAAATGATGTAAAATTTAAAAATAAAAATTAGATAATTAAAAACTATACCAAAGATCTACAAAACATAGGTGACGTTACTATGTTACTTTAACAAATCGGCAACGAAAATAAACCAACAAAATAAATAAAGTTTAATCATGTAAATAGTGAACATGAAGGTTTAGAGTTTGCCCTTTCGTTCATTGATCAATTCTCCGTAGTTCGTTTGACAAAAGGAATTGAAGATGTGATACGAATCTTGATACAAATTAAATCATATCTGGATAGGAAAGAATTTCGAACGTATTCAAGCTCAAGGAAATATGAGGCAAAGAGTGAAAAGACAACTTCGACCGTTTTCGGGCTTTGAAGAAAAGAGAGAGATTTAAGATTGATGGTATTCTTATTGATTGGTTGAATAATATAATGATGAAGGATTACAATATATAGAGAATAAAGCGACGTTAGTGAATATTAAAAAAAAGATTAACTAAAAAATATTAATAAAGAATACCCTAAACTAGATTAACTAAAAAATATTACTCATAAAGAATACCAAATAATAAATAGTAGAGAAATTTTAAAATGGTACTCAATAACTATGTGTTTTTCTAAATTAGTTTCTAAGATGAACTAATTACCGAAGTGGTATTCGCTAATTGAAAATAATGCAGAACTTAGTGCCCCGACTAAAGTCGTCAAAACAACGTCAAAACGGCTTTAAAACTTATTTTAATTTTTCAAATTGATCACATATAATTAGATTTTTTTTTCAAATTAGTCTATTTTCGATGTTAAAACTCATTTAATATGAAAAGCCAAAGCATTCGAATGTTGCATAACAATACTAGGATGTTTTGTGATATCCTACAAACGATGCTGCAAATCGTTATCAAACATTCATATATTAACTACATTCAAAATGTCCAACGATATTCTACAAATAGCGGTGTCTAGATATTGCCTACATTCGAATATTCAATTTACACATTTGAATGTTACGTTACAAGTTACAACTCCAATCATGGACTTTGCTCCTTGGACCCAGCCCCCAAGCTATAAGATTTGTAATATTGTTGAACAAATTTTCATTGTGCACATTCAAACGGTTAACATTATTTATTTTAAAAAAATTTGACGTAACTAAATCTAATTATGTAAAATAACCGATAACACTAAAATTAACACCGACAAGTAAGATTTCCAAGAAATGTAGATATATAATTTTAATGTGTGTGAGCAGAAAAGTAATTATTAGACAATTGAAATATTTAATTTAACTTAATTACAACTTATTTTTATAGAGTACTATATAATAACTGAAAAAAATTAGGCAAAGATGACATTATTAAAATTGTAAGGCAAAAGTAGGAATCCCAAGAAATCAAAAGGCATAGATGACATTATTATTGCGATTCATAGCCAAACCTTTTCAGAAAGCCATATATTATATCAACATCTAATTCAATTTGACAATCATTTCCACCATCTACAATTTGTTATTGCAATTTGGTTTTGCCTAATTTTACGATGTGGGAACGTTACCAATTACTCCGTATTCAATTTCCTTTCAATGTCTATATATGGCAGCCCCTTAATTCCTTTTGCATGGAGAACCAATTCAATTTTTATTTTATTTTTTGAGGAAATTTTTTATTCTATCGGGATATATATGTAGTCTGTTTTTTTCTTGTTCTTTTATATTACTTGGTTCGTGAAACTTGGGAGGAAAACAAAAAAGGATTTTCTGTTGTGGGAGATGTGTGTTTGTTTATTGATAATAGCTCCCTTATATAGGGAAGAGCTTCGTAGGGTTTTTACAAGAGAAGGCCCACGGGCCAGTACAACTGTATTACACAATATAAAGTAAATTCTATCTACACAACAGCACACTAATAAACAAATTTCTTCAACACTCCCCTTGTGCTGAGCTGTAGGTAGAATTGCAGAATCTTGATCTCTTGTCAAAATCTCGTCAAGTGTCAAAACCCTGTGAATAAAAATCTTGAACGAAGAAAAGAATACCGATCCTTACTTCGATCGCTATGTTCATGCATATTGTTACCTCATTAAAAACCTTACCAAGTAACAAAACCCAATGAGAAAAATAAACCTTGGTTTAAGGAAAAGAGTGTAACATAAAATAAAAGCTAGATCTTTGAATATTCAAATCTCCCCCTGAAGTGTACATGATCAAGGAAGATCTGAAAGTCTACGCATCCCAATATTTTTAACATGTTTCTCAAATGTGGCTTTAGGTAACGATTTGGTGAATAAATCTGCCACATTCTCCTCAGATCTTATTTGATTTACTTGGATCTTGAGGAGAGTTCGTTGTTGTTGATTATAGAAAAATTTGGGAGAAATATGTTTGGTGTTATCACCTTTGATAAATCCAAGTTTCATTTGCTCGATGCAAGCGGCATTATCCTCATAAATGCATGTGGGTTCTTCAGTGGTTGGTCTCAAACCACTAGCCCCGCGAATGTGTGTAATGATAGTTCTTAACCATATACACTCGCGAAC